CCAGCTCCACTACACAAACTGTTCTTGTTGGAGTTCCACAGGGAAGTGTTCTTGGCCCACTTCTCTTTCTCATTTACATCAATGACCTACCAAATGCATCTAATCTCCTTAAACCTACTTTATTTGCAGATGACACAACTTATGTCTTCTATCACCCAAACCTAACCATACTAACAGACATTGTAAATGCTGAACTGCTAAAAATATATACTTGGATGATTACCAACAAACTTACTCTCAAAATAGACAAACCCTACTTCATGCTTTTTGGAAACAGAGCATCAAATGTACAGCTAAACATATTGATAAATGGTTCACCTATTTCGAGACAGGCAGAGGGCAAATTTCTAGGTCTCCACCTTGACTACAGCCTCAGATTTCAGACACACATACAGCAAATTTCCAAGAAAGTCTCCAAAACGGTAGGCATCCTTTCAAAGATACGGTACTACGTACCCCAATCAGCTCTTCTAGCTTTGTACCACTCTCTCATTTATCCTTACTTCACCTACGGTATTTGTGTATGGGGTTCAACCACAGCAAATCACCTTAAGCCTTTAATAACCCAACAAAAAGCTGCAGTGCGATTGATTACTAACTCCTGCATTAGACAACATACTCCACCTCTTTTTCTCAAGTCTTAACTTGCTTAATATACAAAACATTCACACTTATTATTGTGCCTACTACATACACACAACACTATACTCTAATGTAAACCCTCCTTTCAAACTCCTCCTTGATAACTATAACAGAACACACAACCATAATATGAGACACAGATCACTCTTCAATATCCCTCGTATTCATCTCTCCCTATGAAAAAATGCTATGCACGTAAAAGGTCCAAAGATCCGGAATTCACTGCCAGAACACACTAAAGGACCCCTGTCTGCAAATCAGTTTAAGGTCCTACTAAGAAATCACCTTAACACCCAAAATTAACCAGACAAACCGTATCTACTCACTACCAGTTTCTCACAAGCTGCTCATATTGTGCTGATAAATGCTCAACCACTTACTACTTCAACATCAGAATGTCTATATTTCATTGTTTTAAACAGTACTAGATTGTAATACAGTACATCATAACGTAAATTGTTCCATTGTAATACCAAATTTCATTGTTTTAAATATGTAGTATTAAACTGTAATACATCATATTTTAAATTGTTTTAAACTGTTACACTGTAATCTTTATAAACTAATTCAATAGCGTAATAAGTCTCCACTAGACTTATCAAAGCCATGTAGCATTACTAGATAGAATATTCAATTCTCCTGTGCTCACTGTAACTCATCTAATGACCATATGAACTATGTATTATCGCCTTCCCAATCTTAAGTTAATCTTTAAACTTGCCTGAAATGCTCTGTATACAAAGGGGCTTTTGGTATGTACACCCAACTATTATATTCCTCTGTACAACCATGTAACTTGTCAAAATGAACATCTTAATCTAAACCTTAATATAAACTCTCATACAAGCATTGTTAACTGACTTAAAAACTTGTATATCCAGCTAAAAGAATTCATATGTGCAGTATATAAAGTTTCCATATGGTTTTTAATGTCTCATTTTATTCCAACTTGTCGATACTGACATACCTATCAACCTATGACTGCTAGTCTTAAACAGCATCTTATGTGAGCTTTTGAAAGTTAGAGCATAAAGCTGTCTCATGCAAAAAAAATCTGTATTTGTGAAGATTACTGATGGTCCTTATTAAACTGCATAACAATCAAATATTTTAACACATGCTATAAAATTTAACATCCACTGAAGTCTCAAAATATTTATGTAGATGTATTTTCTAGGTGTGTACATTTAAGTATAAAATATTATGATCATAAGCTGTTGTAGATAATGTTTAAAATATATTAAACTTGTAAAATATGTTAGGGCACATGCAAAGATGAGCAGATGGATATGCAGTATAATATTAATAATGTTAATATTTAAATTAGTTATTTTAAATCATAATGATAATAAGCTTTTTTTTATCATTTTTTTTATTAACACATCGGCCGCTTCCCACCAAGGCAGGGTGGCCCGAAAAAGAAAAACTTTCATCATCATTCACTCTATCACGGTCTTGCCAGAGGCTTGCTTACACTACAGTTATAAAACTGCAACATTAACACCCCTCCTTCAGAGAGTAGACACTGCACTTCCCATCTCCATTTTTTTATCTTCATCACATTACTCTTTCATATACACGTATTCACTTTTAATCTTCTTCTTTTATATACCCTACCAAACTCATCCACCAACCTCTGCAACTTCTCTTCCGAATCTCCCAAAAGCACTGTGTCATCAGCAAAGAGCAACTGTGACAACTCCCACTTTGTGTTAGGTTCTTTATCTTTTAACTCCACACCGCTTGCCAACACCCGTGCATTCACTTCTCTTACCACCCCATCTATAAATATAATGAACAACCATGGTGACATCACACATCCTTGTCTAAGGCCTACTTTTACTGGGAAATAATCTCCCTCTCTCCTTAGGGCATACTCTAACCTGAGCCTCAATGTCTTCATAAAAACTCTTCACTGCTTTCAGTAACCTACCTCCTATTCCATACACCTGCAACATCTGCCACATTGCCCCTCTATCCACCCTGTCATATGCCTTTTCCAAATTCACAAATGCCACAAAAACCTCTTTACACTTATCTAAATACTGTTCACCTGTATGTTTCATTGCACGCATTTTGTCTACACACCCCCTACCTTTCCTGAAATCTCCTTGTTCATCTGTTATCCTACTCTCTGTCTTACTTTTAATTCTTTCAATAATAATTTTACCATACACTTTACCAGGTATACTCAACAGACTTACATATTCCCCTATAATTTTTGTACTCTCTTTTATCCCTTTTGCCTCTATACAAAGGAACTATGCACGCTCTCTGCCAATCCCTAGGTACCTTACCTTCTTCCATACATTTATTAAATAATAGCACCAACCACTCCAAAACTATATCCCCACCTGCTTTTAACATTTCTATCTTTATCCCAGCTGCCTTACCCTCTTTCATTCTACCCACTGCCTCACAAACTTCCCCCACACTCACAACTGGCTCCTCCTCACTCCTACAAAATGTTATTCCTCTTTGCCCTATACACGAAATCACAGCTTCCCTATCTTCATCAACAATTAACAATTCCTCAAAATATTCCCTCCATCTTCCCGATACCTCTAACTCTCCATTTATTAACTCTCCTCTCCTATTTTAAACTGTCAAATCCATTCATTCCCTAGGCTTCCTCAACTTATTAGTCTCACTCAAAGCTTTTTCTTATTTTCAACAAAATTTGTTGATAACATCTCACCCACTCTCTCATTTGCTGTCTTTTTACATTGCTTCACCACTCTCTTAACCTCTCTTTTTCTCTCTATATACTCTTCCCTCCTTGCATCACTTCTACTTTGTAAAAACCTCTCATATGCTAACTTTTTCTCCCTTACTACTCTCTTTACATCATCATTCCACCAATCACTCTTCTTCCCTCCTGCACCCATTTTCCAGTAACCACACACTTCTGCTGAACACTAACACTACATTCTTAAACCTACCCCATACATCTTTGACCCTATTGCCTATACCCTCCAATAATTGTTTATATCTTATATTAACTGCCTCCTCTTTTAGTTTATAAACCTTCACCTCTCTCTTCCCTGATGCTTCTATTTTCCTTGTATCTCATCTACCTTTTACTCTCACTGTAGCTACAACTAAAAAGTGATGTGATATATCTGTGGCCCCTCTATAAACATGTACATCTTGAAGTCTACTCAATAGTCTTTTCTCTACCAATACGTAGACATAAAATTCCTGATACTAAATATTAACAGAACAATCAATATCATAAGCACAGGCTCTTCATTACATTCACAGTTTATTGGGTAGAAACCCTGAGAAGGAAGGTTAGCATAGTGCTGAACCCTTTGAGATGGTCACGAACACTGTGTACTTCACAAGAAATAATATCCACCCAATCATGAACAGTGTATTTTATTTGTAAGAGAAAATTTCTTCTGAAACAGGTCTCTGTCGCATGATGACCCACTCACTGAAGCAGTGGATCATGAGACTGAGGCCTATTGCTGACCTACCCTATCTTGTTTGCCCATGGAATCAGCCTAGTGTTTCCTGGGCTGAGATTAACATTCTTCAAGTGTTATGACTACAGAGGAGCTTGAAGCATGTCTGAAAGAGTGTGGTGTGTCAAGAAAAATTTGTGATTCTTTACTTACAGAAAATATGCAGTATAGTGGTACCTCGAGTTTCAAATAGCTCCCAACTCGAACAATTATGTAAGTGTATTTTTGTAAGTGCTTTTGTAAGTGTATTTCTGGGGGTCTGAAACAGGCTAATCTAATTTACATTATTCCTTATGGGAACAAATTCATTCGGTATCAGCACTTGAACAGCCTTCTGGAACAAATTAAGTTCATAACTCGAGGTACCACTGTATTAATAAGTATTAACAATGAATACTAAGTACTATTTAAGTATAGTGCCATTGTGCACACATGAAACAAATGTATACTGGCCACAGGATGAACGACAAAATATTTCATTGGCCACATTGAACAAGAAAATATAAAATACCATAGCTGCTTTTAAAAATTACACCCATATGTATTAACTCTAGAGCACATATTTCAAATGGAAGATTACACCACACTATCTCAGTTTTACTATGAATAGTAAGGCCAAAAATATTCACCATCTATGTGCTGTTCAATGTAGAATGACAACAACACGCATGGAAAAGTTGCTTGATGGCAACTCACTAAAAAGATGACACATACTCAATATATAATACCTATCCTCTAACTAAAAAATGTATTACCAGAATCACACTATATTTTTAAATTATATTTTTTTATCCATTACAAATTATATTTTATTCCTAATGTTATACAGGATGGGTATATGTAATCTTCTGCAAATACTGTAGCATATTCAAATGCTTAAGTACTGACCCCATGTGTCACCATGTTGGCCCAGTGTTCCACATTAGTAGGTTGGTATGCTGCACGACCTAGTGCCATAGAATTCATCCACGCCAACCTAAAGGAAAAAAATAAAAAAACATGGTGGCTTCCTATAACACAATATTCAGAGGAAATATTTTTTTTTTCAGAGAATGGGCAAATATTGTTCCTGGAAAAACAAAAGAAAAATAGAAATCTATACAATGATCAACATGGCATAAAGGATGCTTTGTGTAGGGATGCACATTATTTTGTAGGAGAGAGGGAGATTACCATCTAGGAAACTTTGCTCACGGATGTCATTGCTGCTAACACTTCCAGCTTGGCAGAAGCAGGGTCAAGAATTTTCAATGAGAATTCTAAACAGGCAATCAGAAAAAAAAAAATCCCCCATAAAAAAAAATACCATAATACAGTCTTTCTAGTGGTAATCTTAAAGTTTGCATATTAACCCTTAACCCCTTCAGGGTCCAAGGCCAAAATCTGAAGTGGTGCTCCAGTGTCCAAGAAATTTTGAAAAAAAAAAAAAAAAAAATAAATTTTTTTTCTTACAGAATTAAAGAGCATATTTTTGTGAAGGTAATAAGACAAAAAAAAAATTCTGATCAGTACTTACCGAGATACAGTGCCAAGAAGTTTGTCAAAAATGATGTGGTGGCGGCAACATCGACGAATTCCACATACGCGCATTACATTATTTTGCGGTTTTTAAAGTTTTTTTCTTTTCTTTTCCAATTTTTTTCTATTCCTACTAACATTTGGGGCCTGAGAGACCAATACTGTATATAATGTATAAATAAAAACTCACTGTATTGAACACAATAACCACACTAAAGTTATTATCATATTATTGTTTACCACTGTTGTTTATTACAATAAACATGCACAAATCTTGTATAATACTAATGTTCTATCATATATTTACATATTTACAATCACTGGACATGGTTTTAGAACTGCTGGAGCTTGTGGAACTCCTTGAAACAAGGCACCATGCACAGAGGCACCATACATTCCTCACACATAAACCGAGTGTCTTTGCGTCTTTGTTGCCGTTGTTTTGTTTGTGCACAGACGATGCATCTCTACTGAGCAAATTTCTTCTGAGTTGAAGGAAGCTGTATTATGAAATGATCACCTTCCCTCCTCAAATGCTTGGGTATATCCTGAGTAATTCGAGGACCTTGTTGTATAGCAGGTGTTCTTACCTGGTACTTCATTATGAGTTGTCTGACAACAGACAAAAAAAATTCCCCATAGGGTGGTCTTTGCCATCTTTCTTTGGTACAATTTATGCATTGAGCAAGAAATGTCCATGAATGGAAGAAAAGTTTCTGACCACTTGTAACTTTACAAACACAGTAAAAAAAAACCAATCGCAGTAATTTGTCAACCCAAGGCATTTTTTTTGTGTATAAAAATCCTGTCACGGGTTTTTTCAAAATATTTCATTAGTCACTCGATAAATTTTGCCACTTCTTGCATTTCTTACTGAATGGTTGTCAAAATGTGACATCTCGTTTGTCATGCCCCGTAATGCCATGATGCACTGGCATAAACACCTGCACTCATCCCCCAGAGCACCTGCATTGACCCTGGGCATATGTTTATATTAGAACGCACTTGCCACACAATCGTCCTTGTTCCCCAGAATCACTGAGTAATGGGTTTTGTGTCCGTTATCGGTATATAATGTATGCCCCTTACCAAGATAAGGTGCCATCATGTTTCCCCTCGTCACCGAATCCCCAAATAAATCTTGGTATCTTTCAATGTTTTATTTCCCCGTGTATACAACAATACCAACACCAGGCCACTGTCACAGTCACAGAGTACAAACATTTTAACCAAAGGTTCCTCTTCCCGGGGTATATCTGCTTGAATGACGTCTACCTTTGAAAAAAATAAAAAGACCCGTTCGTCAATTACAAATTCTTGAATGGATAAAAGTTATGCTGAACTTTTTTTGAGAACATAAAACATTTCAATCTTGTAAAACCCTGTCATTCGTCAGGCCTGTTTTGTCAGAGGGAAATGCAACATACTAAAGTAAGATAAACCTGTTCACTGGTATATTTCACTGAAGACCCCGGGGAAAATTAGCCGATCTGTGGGGCCATATGCTTTTATTTTATGCTTAAGACATGAGGGATAAGCATTATTGTTGCAAAAAGCAAACTTTCTGCAACAGTCGTTCTTTCCCCCTGGTAATTTGACTGTGGTGATGTGACGTATTTTCCCTGGTGTACCAAATACTTATTTCTTTCCCTGACAATAGTTTCCTCAAAAGGGGGGTCAAAAAATAAATTCAAAAAATTCCCGTTCTTGGCCCCTGGTTCCAAGGGGGCAAATGGGAAATTCCACTTTTAGAGCATCAAAGTTGAGGGTTGGGAACAAAATTGGGGTTTTGTGCCAAACCCCCTACGGTTTGCTGGTGGATACTGGACATCATAGGGGTTGTGCGGGTGGTTGTGGGGTTTGGTGGGCTGGGGGCTGACGCTCTACTTTGTCCTTGACGACGAGTCAAGGTGGGGCCCACCCTGGCTGGTGAGTCACGCAGGGGGTGCCACTACCATCACCACTAACACCCTCCACGATGCTGTGTCTATCCATGCCAAGTGTAGCCACACATCCTCATTCCCTACCAAAACTGGTGTAGGGCCACGGGGTGTACTCCGGGATGTACTCCGCCCCTGGGGCCCGCATGGGACACTACCCAGCGCATGCAGCGTGAACATACCGACGCTTCCTGGTGAATATGATTCCTCACTATCCTAAACGAAGATCTCGAGTGCAATAAAATCACAATCCCCATCACTTCATCATCATTTCTGAAGTCAAGGCCTGGCCACCGAAAATATTAGTTTTTTTCTTTCGTTTGGGGAAAAACCGACCGTGAGTACGAGTGCCCCCCAAAAGGGAAAGGTTGAGGAGTCAGGGGTTTTCTGTACTATTTTTCAATATCCCATATTCCTTTCGTCACTAAATCAAAGCCTAAATTCGCTTCATTTCCATTCCATCAGTGTCAAACATCAGATAGGGAAAGGAGAGCCCAATTTTTCTGGGGGGTGAGAGCTACTTGCAACGACATGGGAACAAGGGGAACTGGCCGGCGTTTTAAAAATGCTAGGGGGGCCCAATTTTTGTTTATGGGGACACCCACCACGCAGCCAGTTTTTCTCACTGTAGGCCTACGAGAGCTTTCGCGCTAAATTTGACCTACGGGACGGACCCTGAAAGGGTTAAACTGTCCAAACAGATCTACATTCACATGCGTAGTGCTCCAAAAGTAGATCTATATTTTTACATATTTTCCAATATAACAAAAAAATGTAGATCAAAGTTTTTTACACATTTTCAAATGTAAAAAAAAAAAAGTCTACATTTTTTACATACAGTGGACCCCCGGTTAATGATATTTTTTCATTCCAGAAGTATGTTCAGGTGCCAGTACTGACCGAATTTGTTCCCATAAGGAATATTGTGAAGTAGATTAGTCCATTTCAGACCCCCAAACATGCACGTACAAACGCACTTACATAAATACACTTACATAATTGGACGCATTGGGAGGTGATCGTTAAGCGGGGGTCCACTGTACGTACTTTCAAATGTTGAAAAAATGTAGATCTACGTTTGGACAGTTTAAGGGTTAGAGTGAGAAAAGATGTTTATTTTTGTTCACATCTGTCCATTATGGTACTAATCTTAAAAAAAAAAAAAAAAAAAAAAAAAATTACAGTTGACTGTTAACCCTTTCAGGGTCCAAGGCCCAAATCTGAAGTGGTGCCCCAGTGTCCAAGAATTTTCAAAAAAAAAAATTTGTTATTTTTTCTTATGAAATGGTAAAGAATCTTTTTGTGAAGGTAATAAAACAAAAAGTACGAAATTTGATGGAAAATTGATGAAATTATGCTCTCGCGAATTTTGATGTGTCAGCGATATTTACAAATTGGCGATTTTGCCGACTTTGACTCCCATTTTAGGCCAATTACATTATTCCAGTAAACCAAATTCTTAGCTATTTCACTAGTATTACTTCTATTCTATCGATTGAGCACAAGAAATCAGCAAGTCAACTGTTTCAACTACAAATTAAAGTGATCGGAAATTGTTAATTTGGCCAATTTAACACAAAGTTCAAAATATTCCAATTTCAAAATAGGGTCCAGAATAAACAATGTAGGTATTCCTGGAACTAAACTAACATTTCCTCTGTTCATTAGTTATGTTTTGAGGCTTTACAAATAAATTCCATTTTTATTTTTTATTCACATAATGAATTTTTATTCACACCAAAAAATTGAAGATTTACTGTTATGCAATACTGTAATAATTGTATAAATATCATCACCATATTTGTGAATGCATATTAGACCCACCAGCTGGCGTGTGTTAGACGTGTGAGGTCGTTTGTTTACTCTTGAATATCGGCAAAAATTTAACATTTCTGCTACTTTGAGCTCAGTTTCAAGCCATTTCTAGTGCTAAAACCAATCAAAATCATCTCTATTTCAGTAATATGTCTTCCATTCTATCAATTGAGACCAAGAAATCGCAAATACAACTATAAAAAACATACGAAAAACACTGCAAAATCGTTGTTTTAATCAAAAAATCATGATTTCAGTTTTTTTCTCTCATTATACACAGTGTGCTGCAGGATCTGTTTTATGTGGTGCACACATACCACATAGATGTATTCTCTCATATCTAGGCCCAAATGTACCACTCACAGTTTATCAGAGTGAGCTGAGCTCATGGCGTAGATCTACGGTTTGGACCCTGAACGTAAAGCCGTAGATCTACGGGACGGACCCTGAAAGGGTTAATACTTCTGGGTGTCAGGAACGGATTAATTGTATTTACATTATTTCTTTTGGGGAAAATTGATTCGCAAATCGTAGATTTCGTTAATAGTAGCAACTCCAGAAACAGATTAACTACGAAAAACGAGGGACCACTGTATTCTAATGCAAAATTTTTGCCTCGGTTTCCCGCTAAAAAACCCGATATACGATTCATCCAAGACGTGTCCACATGTGCGCCAGTGTTTACAAGCCAGCCAGTGTGCTC